CCACACCCACACCCTTCAAAAGATGAATAGATGAACAATAGAAAAGCTCAGTGATATGTATCTGTTTTGCTTTCGTTCATGCAGCTATCTTGAAGATGAGGATGTTGATGATGGCTTGTCCGAACATCTAATCATAATCATAATCATTGAGAAAATATTTTGATAAATGGATATTGCCCATGTTGCTGATGTCGTGGATAGAATAAGACATGGCATTGAACATTGATTCATTGGGATTTAGGAATTTCGCAATCTTAATCAGAATCTGAATGCTTAAAGAGCCCAAGAGAAGATATCCATTTGACACATTAAAATTTCGGACAACCTTCTTCATAAGTAGTGTCAAACTTTTCAGAGAAAGTCAGTCGTGAATATTTCGGACAAGAGTTTACCAAATGAAGCAATCGTGTAGACAGAGACGATCGTCTATCGCAACTCTTCGGGGAGCGTTTCGAGCTTGTACGCCGCAACACGAAAAGAAAAGGGAAGGTGAATAGTCATCTGTCCCGGAAGAGTCGCTGATTACTTTTTATGAAACAATTGGAAAGTTGAACACTTGAATACTTCAATTATCTAATAATTGAATAATTGAACAATCGAAATCAAGTTTCAAGTAGTACATGTGTGTGATTGGTTCCCATGGTTGATCTTGAGGGTGAAGAGACGTTTATCAAGATCACGCTCAAGATTCAAACCAAATAATCTTTCAACAATTTAATCCTTTCGTACTTCAGTTCAATTTATCTAAAACAAATGCAAAAATCGTGCTGTTTCGACCAGTTTCATAATTCATCATCCAACACTCACATTCTTATCGACGGTCTAATACCAGTATACATTGGTTATCAATGCGTTTCACAAAGATGATCAAGTGTTTCTTGATAGGAATAAATACTTCAATGTATTAAGCGATTACTGTTATCACTCATTTTATATACCTCAAGCGAGAACCATTCTCTCCCTTATACTACTTTATCTTAACCTTGAAGAAGGAGGAGTGATTTTTCTAGATGATGATATTCAAACTTTTGCTATTATCCGTGTTTGTAACGCTCGTCGTTCAAAGTGAAAGGGAACGACTCCATCATCGTCGACGCCAGCTATTTTCAAGTAGTACACCAGGTCTTCCAAGTAGTGGATATTACGTAGTGTCTTCGAATGTTTATTTCAATGGACGCGTCGTTGAAGGTCTCGATGTACGGTCCTTCAAAGATCTTGGTTATGGTTATGCAAAAGATAGCAGACATGTCTTTTTAATGGGAAAGAAAATTCCAGGTGCATCGAGCACGTCCTTTCAAATCTTGAACGGTGGATGGTATGCCAAAGATTCTTGGGATGTTTACTATTTCGGTGAGAAGATATCAGGCGCATCTGTTAGCTCCTTTCAAGTCTTAGATGGTCAATATGCCAAAGATTCTTGGGATGTTTTCTATGCAGGAAGAAAAGTACAAGGTGCATCCAGCTCATCATTCAAGGTATTAGGTGACGAATATGCAAAAGATTCTTTCGACGTTTTCTACGCTGGAAAGAAGGTTCCGGGTGCATCAGCCTCCTCGTTTCAACTCTTAGGCAATGGCTATGCGAAGGATTCGTGGAACACCTATTACAAGGGAGAAAAATTATCCAGTGGTTAAACACACGATTCACTATTGGGAAGGAAAAGGCGAATCTAATCAGTTTTTTTCTGAAATAAATTTTTCAAGTTCTTGCTTTAAACTATGGCTGAACGTTGAAGGACGTTTTTTCATAGAAAAACTCGACATTCGTCTTCATCAATATCTTGAGTTGCAACGCATTCTCCTAGAATATAACATATACACTGCATATCTACAGTCGTAGTGACTATATCAACTTTTAAATTTCTAGAGTAGTCAGTCGCAGATGAAGATTCTATATGTACGCTTTTTCCTGGCAAAGTAATTTACTGCAGTGTCGAGAGCATCAGTGTGGTGTCCTTCTTTTAAACACGCCCACACCTTCTTCAAAACCCACGATTATATTCGAATGGCAATGATCAATAGATTCTCTTTGAAATTATTGCAAATTTATCGGAGCATACACGTCGTTTGTACTAAGAATAACTATACTAGACTAGCAGAGATACCCGGCGTTGCCTGGGAAGATAGACTATTGCATCCGGTATTTAGTAGAAAACATTAGTCGGATGGGATGGGTGTGGGTGTGTGGGTATGGGTGTGGGCGTGGTGTGGGGTGTGGGTGTGGGGATGTGGGTGTGGGTGTGGGTGTGGGTGTGGGTGTAGGGATGTAGGTGTGGGTGTGGGTGTGGGGTGTGTGGGTGGGATGTCGGTGTGGGCGTGGACGTGGGTGAATGTGGGTGTGGGTGAATGTGGGTGTGTGGGAATGTGTGGGAAGGTGGGGGTGTGTGTGAGCGAGTGTGGGCGTGAGTGGATGTAAATCTTCTCTTAGCCTACACCCACACCTACGCCCACACAGCACACCCAAACCCACCCACACTCCACAGCCACAGCCAGACCCACCCTAATCTATAAGATATAGTTCCATGCATTGTGCTTTAGTCTCGAATATCGGTAGGACTTCTTTCTAAATTAAAATTTTCCACTTCAGAGTTAGTGGACTGTTGAGTTTGACAGCAAATGTAATGCACAGACCTTCTATTAGATAACATCAATAATCAATAAAATCTTGACAATGCTTATTTGCTCATGTTTGGAAGTAGCGTCTGTTGACTCCGATATACCGACGAAAAAGTGTTCAGCAGTCGAATTTCAAGACCAGTTGTCTTCTTACTGTAGAGTTCTTTGTGTTGTTCTTCTGTGAATCTCAATCTTTCAGTCTCTTAAGCCAATCATTAGGAACTTGTACATATTGTCAATTCAAGAATAAACGAATATCACTTGTTTGAAAGTAGAACTGATTGATTTCTTAGTGATTTATTTATGCATTGCTTGACTATTAATAAATTCAAATGAGTGCATCATTGATATTACCAAATCATGCCTAACACCATTTAAGGCTATATTGATGACATCCAAAAAACAATATGTTCATGATGATCAATCGTCGTATCAATATAATAACATAAAATCTTTGCCATTAGTCAGTTATCTCTGTTTATTTGAAGAAGATGGAACAATTGTCAATCTCAATTATGATTATAGAGAAAAAGATTAATAACGGTACTTTATGTGAAGTCCCTCAACAATCTAAACAAGTTAAATATTCGCACGAATGTTTTCTAGATTTTATTCTTCAGAATTAATATATGTCAATTATTGACTTGAGCAAATCTTTGACTCTTTTCAACTATTCCAGGAAGAACATCCGATCTTGTTCCTCTTCGAAGAAACAAATTAGGAGAACTAGTTATTCGATATCTTACAATTATTGATCAATATGATCAAGTTCTTGTGCATTTCAGAACGAGTAAAGACAAAACAATTCGTCATTGGGCAACTAAAATGGAGCATAAATTATGTTAAATAGAACTAAAATCCCAAGACTACAACAAATTAAATGTCTGCGATGCGTTTTGTTTTTTTGTTTATCGCTGTAAATTAATTCATCTTTTTGTTTTTCTCTGTTGTTGAAGATTGAATTGCAAATCCTCAAATACTGGTTTTTTCATTAAAATAATGTACGGCTAGTGATTTAATATCGTCAGACAAATGTTTGCAACAAACGTAAGATGATTCACATATCGAATATCGTTAATTAAACGCTTTTTCGAGATACAACACCGAACTCGACTATGCTTGTATAGGGTGTGGATGTGAGCGGGTGGATATCAATGACGATAGTAACACCATACCGACACCCACACACCCACACCCACTCACACCGACACCCACACACCCACACCCACCCACACCGACACCCACACACCGACACCCACCCAC